CAGCGCCCTCACGCTGACGGAGACGCGCGGGCAGACCCTGGAGCAGATCTCGCAGCAGCAGCAGCAGGCGCGAGGGACTTAAAAGGCCTTATTCGGGGTGTCTTATTGTGGTCTTCCCCGTGTGTCCACTCTCGGCCTCAGCGTCGCTTGGAATGCCAGACTGAGTGAGTGTCCTGTGGAAGGAAGAGGAATGTTCATCGACGTGTTCAGTAGCAGAAATTGATCGAAAATGTCCTTGTTGAACGCACTGTCTTTTGTGTTACGCAAATAAGAGGAAACAGTTGATATATTTATATTTTAATTCGTTTTTCACTTTTAATCCATGCAAGTTATTACAATTTAAAGTTTATGCGATGTTAACTTTGATTATGCATAATAAAGTCTATTATCACTGCATGGTTTTCGATTTTATCCATGAGAGAATGAAAACATGTTATAGTTGAGAGTTATCAGCAATTGTCTTGTTCCTTTTTTATTTCAAATTAGATAAGAATAAATATTTACAATGACAACTTTAAAGCATTTTAAATTCTTGAAATGCTATAACCAAGGGTGATTGATAATTTTCTTTTATTCTGTAATAACACTATGAATTATGATAAAACCAATCGGAACTAAGAGAGCAACACACAAACACATACTGCACAGCAAACAGTACATTTTTGTACATTAATGTTTGAACACTTAACTCCCACTGCCATGTACTCCGCAAAACGTACATTAATAACACTATGAATTATGATAAAACCAATCGAAGCTAAGACACAAACACATACTGCACAACAAAAAGTACATTCACGCATTCTCTTTCACATAGCAAACCAAAACGACCGATGTCCCGGTATATGTGACTTGATCTTCAGCTTCGCATTTAATTTAATGGTTTCGAGAGGACAAAGCTAGTAAGTAGGGAGTGCCTTGAGATGAACTTACGCCAACGACCACGTGAGGCAAAAGTGTTTTGAATACCAATTCCCGGTAGGTCTAAAGACGATTTGCATTAGCATTGGCAAACGTAGGCTAAATTTATCGCACCGATATATTTGGCTATTTAGTTTTTGCTCATGATTAACAACATCAATTAAAGAAAAACCGATCATAAAGTCTGGAAGCGAATGTAAAAGTAGGCCTATAATCAAACATGGCGTACTATATCCGTATACTTTGTACTCCGCGTTGCTAAAAAGCACTACACTGCACTCCCAAGGACACAAGACGTATCGTGAATGAAGCTTCTCCTCCAAACCTCATGAAAAAAAGGATGACATTCCTTACGTATTCGAGAGAATTCGAAACTATGCTTCAAAGCGTGAATTGCCTGTAAACCGATGCAGAGTTAGACGACAAGTGCCAAAGCAGATTTAGAGGGAGAAAAAGGCAGTGCATAGCAGATTATTAAATAATCATCTGTGGAGATTCGATGTTATACACTTTAGGTAATTCGTTGAGTAAATTGACATCAAAAGATAATATGTGAGAATACATACACGCACATTCTTGTACGTGAGTGTGTTTGTATGCCCATGTATGCATATATGTATGCGTATGTGTAAATACACACATGCACTCTAATATGTATATATTTTATACAACTGTTTGACTTTTTCATATTTTGAAAGAAAAAAAATTACTGTCCATCATGTCAACATAGTTCTAACCTTATGAAGAATGTTAACAAATAAGGAAATAAAACCCGTGAGGAAGAGACAAAATAAATTTATATTTTACAAAACAAAAATAAATTTAATTTCTTGAATAATAATTCAAGGGAGACAAACATATGAAGTTCCATCATAATCAATTGAGTATATTCGTCATACTCTTTAGTTTATATCTTAAAGTATCTCGATTAATTTATTCCGTATCAACAAAAAGACAAGAAAAAAACAACAGCAACTTTGAAACATTAACATTGTAATAAATTCACACTGAGGAAAATAGTAAGTGCAAAAATGGAGAACTAATATTAAAATTATGCTTACATTCAATTGGTATTTGTGAAAATGTAAACTGAAATAACTTTTTTTTATCATAAAGTAAAAATGTGTTTTCCACACCATGAATTTACGTTTTTTTTCTTTCTTTTGTGTGTGTGTGTTTGTTTTTTTTTTTTTTTGCTTTTTAAATAATCCATATCTTAGTATGTTAAGATTTTTAGTCTCACAGCAGTACACATTCTTTAGTTTATTTCATAAAGATTTCTTAAAAAGGTTCCTTGTATAAACTATTAAGAAATACTAATTTTTCTTCACAATTATCAACCCTATCCTGGCTGCATACTAGCAACACTAATGCTAAGACGTATACATTTAAATTGGATAATTTATTCATATTTCCATTAGACAATTATCGAATTCATGTTAATCTTCTAAGATAAAAGTTTTTCTTTGATATCTCTCTCAGCCTGTGTAGTCTTGTCCATAAGTCCAGAGGTTTCTTGCTGAAGAGTTTACAGGTCAGGAACTGTTTTCCGCCAAAGCACATTCGCGCTTTACAAAGTCTCGAATCTTTTCCGGAGAAGAGAAGGAGTGTCGGACGAGTCTCACGAATGGCTGTTGTGTTGGGCGGCTGAGAGAAGGCTTCTTTGCAACTCCGACCTCGCCACTTTCTTGGGCCAGGGGCGTCGAGACTGGCGTGGCTTTCCTGCGGCAGGAGCTGCACTTTCCGAAGTCACGTTCGCGCTTTATAAAGATTCGAACCTTTTCCAGGGAAGCGAAAGACAGTCGGATGAGTCTCACGAATGGCTGCTGGACTGGATGGCTGAGTCCTTGTCTCCAGTAGCTTTTATCTTTTATTTCTTGTTTGTTCAGTCAACGGTGTCGTAGGCTCGTTGTGTGAAGGAGCCGTGTTTGCGCGATCAGCTGATTTTGTTTGCAAGGAGCTTTTCTTTACGTATCCTTGGAGAACACTTTTTGTGGTTCGGATGTTCCGCTTAGCCCTAGGACAAAGAACTTTCATTTTGACGGGTAGCTGATGTGAAATACCTTCGTTATTCCTTTCTACTTCTGGTGTTTGCAGTCTGTGGCCTCTCAAGCTGTAGCTGGCAGCCCTAGTAGCCTTTACATTTGTCTGAGAAGAAGGCTGGCAGGGGGAAACAAGACTACTTCTTGGAAGTTTATTTTCTGTCTTGGCTGCTCTTTTACGGGCAGCAAACTTACCCCGTGACCTCTTCAAGAAGCTTTTGACAAGTGGCCTTTGACTAAGTTCAGCGTATACTTTGAGAAGAGTCTTGGCTGCGCAACCGCTGTCACGAGAGAACGCTGAGCCACCCTGTATTCCACACAGGTGCACCATGACGTGGCACTTCAGACGATCCCTTCTCGAAAACGTCTTGCTGCACACATGGCAGGCGAACCTACACGCGTTGAGGTGGATGCGCTTGTGCCTCACGAGGTCGATCCTGCGCTGAAACGTCAAACGGCATCGCTTGCAAAAGAACGTCGAAAGCTTCTTGCTCATCGCTGCTAGTAAATTGGTCCTGTAATTTCCTACGTTGGTTTTCTACCTCCCCCGCCCTTGGTCCCGGAGACAAGCCACAGTAGATGTCAGCAAACGAAGGAAGATTGGCTTGTTGTTTGCCGGAGAAGATGGCAAGTTCCGGCTGTTGACTGACGGAGGTCGAGGCAGGACCCAGGGACCACGGGGACTCGAATCTGTGAACAAAAGCAAAGGATGAAGTGCGATGCAGTCCGACCAAGCTGCCAGGAGGGATTAGGCAAGGTTAGGCTGCCGTGAGGGTTTTCGTTTCATTGTTTATATATTCAACGTAGGTTTATCGTAATGACAAGTGCAGCATGATGATAAAATGAAAGCCACATACTTCATACATGAATAGGATATATGAGCATATATATATATATATATATATATATTATATATATATATATATATATATATATATATATATGTATACACACACACACGCACAAACACACACACGCATGTACACACGCACGCATGTACACACGCACGCATGTACACACGCACGCACACACACACACACACACACACACACACACGCACGGCACGCAACGCACGCAACACATAACACACGCACACACACACAAGCAAACACATGTACTCACACACAAACACAAACACACACACATTAATACAAACACAACCACGAACACAAACACACGCATACACAAACTACATATATACACACATACATATTTATATATGTGTATACATATATGCTCTAACCATTCGGTCACCCCCCCCCCCCACCCGGACTCAAAAGACTGTCACGACAATCGGAGTTCGAGGGTTCGAGTCCCGGCCGGGGCTTTGTTCCCTGGGCAAGGAACTTCACATCGATTGCATACTGGTATTCCCCTGTGTGGATGTGTGTGTGCGTGTGTGTGTGTGTGTTCTTGAGGGTGACCGAGTTTATACTCGCACGCGCGCGTGTGTGCATGTACTAATGTAAAATAATCATCTACATAAGTAAAGAAAAAATAAGTAGATGAAAAAATAAATAAGAAAGAGCGCCTAGCACTATCTTTCAGCCTTCTAAAATCCGTTGCCGGACATAGGCCTTCCCCAATCTGCGCCACCTCGTTGGAGTATGACTTGCATCGGGGGAGGACAAGGGCCGCACCCAATGGCCCTCTGGGGGTTAGCAGGGGCCCCTAGGGTCGCCTTTTACGACACGTAGCGACAAGCATTCCCTTCACGCCCCCCCCCCCTATCTACAGGGGAGGAATACGAGTGGCTCTGATTCCCTTCACGCCCCCCCCCCTATCTACAGGGGAGGAATATGAGTGGCTCTGATTCCCTTCACGCCCCCCCCCATCTACAGGGGAGGAATATGAGTGGCTCTGATTCCTTCACGCCCCCCCCCATCTACAGGGAGGTGAGTGGCTCTGATTCCCTTCACGCCCCCCCCCCCATCTACAGGGGAGGAATATGAGTGGCTCTGATTCCCTTCACGCCCCCCCCCATCTACAGGGGAGGAATATGAGGCTCTGATTCCTTCACGCCCCCCCCCATCTACAGGGGAGGATATGAGTGGCTCTAATTCCTTCACGCCCCCCCCCCTATCTACAGGGGAGGAATATGAGTGGCTCTGATTCCCTTCACGCCCCCCCCCCCCTATCTACAGGGGAGGAATATGAGTGGCTCTGATTCCTTCACGCCCCCCCCCCCCCCTATCTACAGGGGAGGAATATGAGTGGCTCCTTCACGCCCCCCCCCCATCTACAGGGAGGAATATGAGTGGCTCTAATTCCCTTCACGCCCCCCCCCCCCCATCTACAGGGAGGAATATGAGTGGCTCTGATTCCCTTCACCCCCCCCTATCTACAGACTTCCCCCCCCCCCATCTACAGGGGAGGAATATGAGTGGCTCTGATTCCCTTCACGCCCCCCCCCCATCTACAGGGGAGGAATATGAGTGGCTCTAATTCCCTTCACGCCCCCCCCCTATCTACAGGGGAGGTATGAGTGGCTCTGATTCCTTCGCCCCCCCCCCCCATCTACAGGGGAGGAATATGAGTGGCTCTGATTCCCTTCACGCCCCCCCCCCTATCTACAGGGGAGGAATATGAGTGGCTCTGATTCCCTTCACGCCCCCCCCCCCCCCATCTACAGGGGAGGAATATGAGTGGCTCTGATTCCCTTCACGCCCCCCCCCCATCTACAGGGGAGGAATATGAGTGGCTCTGATTCCTTCACGCCCCCCCCCCCTATCTACAGGGAGGAATATGAGTGGCTCTGATTCCCTTCACGCCCCCCCCCCTATCTACAGGGGAGGAATATGAGTGGCTCTGATTCCCTTCACGCCCCCCCCCCCTACAGGGGAGGAATATGAGTGGCTCTGATTCCCTTCACGCCCCCCCCCATCTACAGGGGAGGAATATGAGTGGCTCTGATTCCCTTCACGCCCCCCCCCCCTATCTACAGGGGAGGAATATGAGTGGCTCTGATTCCCTTCACGCCCCCCCCCCCCCATCTACAGGGGAGGATATGAGTGGCTCTATTCCCTTCACGCCCCCCCCCTATCTACAGGGGAGGAATATGAGTGGCTCTGATTCCCTTCACGCCCCCCCCCCCTATTCTACAGGGAGGAATATGAGTGGCTCTGATTCCCTTCACGCCCCCCCCCCCCCCTATTACAGGGGAGAATATGAGTGGCTCTGATTCCCTTCACGCCCCCCCCCCCCCTATCTACAGGGGAGGAATATGAGTGGCTCTGTTCCCTTCACGCCCCCCCCCCCCCATCTACAGGGGAGAATATGAGTGGCTCTGATTCCCTTCACCCCCCCCCCCCTATCTACAGGGAGGAATATGAGTGGCTCTAGTTCCCTTCACGCCCCCCCCCCCCTATCTACAGGGGAGGAATATGAGTGGCTCTTGCATTGCAATCGGCCGGTTTGTTAGAAATGTGCGAGGCCGACCGGTAATATTGATCATGTGGATATGCACATACACATAATTAAATGCATCAATAAAAACATGTCTATCAGTCTAGACATGCATATCTACCGGACAGATAAATAGATAAAGGTATATCTATCAGATAGAGAGACAGATATGCCTTTATTTCTGTGTATATGTATGTCAGTTAGTGAATATTTATTAGGCCCGGCACTCGCACAATTTCAACAAACTGGTCGAATCTCCCTCAGATTACTAAAACCTTGTTACGTGATACATCAAAATTACTCCCAGTGGCTTAGCTCGATATTTGGAAGCCTGCGAGAAGTGAAAATCCCCCCCCCCCCCGCCCCCCCCAATGCTACTAGTTGCTTTAGATTTTCCAAATGGGAGTCCACGTGGATGTCATGTTCAAGCAGGCCGTTATATTCTTGCACTTCACACGTGAAAGAGTAAAACAAGGCCATGGAAGCAAGCCCATGCATGTTAAACAAACACGTGGTTTAATTTGCGAAAGCTAAAATAACAAACAAACAAACAAAAATGAATATTTCGAGATGGGGGAAACTCAAACTCCTTCCATCTATTTATTCAAAATCCAGAAAAATATGGAATCTAAAAAATATGGGAATCTACTTTTTTAATTACCCTTGTTCAGGATTGCGCATCTGAGGGACTTGCTCTATTCCGATAAGGTATCAACACCCGGAACGCGTGTTTTTCTCGTGTCCTATAAGTCCCAGGAACTGATTGGAAAATATTTCGGCGTGTATGTAGAATAAGATCTCATTCATTTCCAAGATAACAACATCAGTGACAACAGGAAAAAGGAAAGAACGGTTTAATATTTCGGAACGTCTCGATTGTGACCATACCCAATGGTGTTAAGGAGCTGACGCTTTCAGAGCTCTTCACTCTATGGTAGCTCAGCCTGCTCATATTCATCTCCTGTTGTATACTCACGAAATGCGGATTTTAATTTCATAGTTTCAGAAATACACATTCGAAGTTGGTTTAAATTGACATCGTCGAATATCCCTGTCGGTGGTGCCGGCTGAACGGAGGGTCGGAAGGGGAAACAGTTTTGTTTTCGTGATCATTTTCCTATTTTTATTAATTGTTTTGTTTAAGCTTTCGATTATTGATTATTAAAATGCTATCATTTTTTCAGGTTCTTCTCTTACTGATTTCTGAATGAGTATGGCGATTATTGTATTTTTTTCGGGGATGCTGTAGTGTTGAGAGTTTTTTGCGGAGAGGGAATGGGGGGGGGGGGTGTGTCCGAAGTGGGGATGTAGTGTGTAGCCTTTATTGTAATAACAAGAAGTTACCAAGTTGTGAGAAGAGAAAAAAAAAAGAAATGAGAACGTCAATCTGTTTTGAATACACATAATATTCACAAAACTTACATCTTCGGGTCATGAGAATGTTACCCGCTTAGACATATCATAATGAGATTATTTGTGTTCTGTTCTCGTTGGTTTGTTAGTGTTACTTGTAGCACTTAAAACCGCCCGGATTTTTTGTTATTTAATTTTATCATTACGGTTAAATCTATTTTGTCATCATTGTTTATATTGTCTTCTTTTACATGTGTCCATGATTTGTACGACACATTTACTTATCTCAGAGCGTTTTTTAGAAGTTTGATGAGGCGAGCGAGAAACGATGATAATCACACAATCTGTCGTGGTGTATGTCTGTGTGAATGATACTATGGACTAGTATAACAATATATAGGTACAATAAATATTATAGTATATATAATGTAAATAAGCTATTTTATATTATTATTAATATAATTATAGTATAGTTGATATGNTACAAGTAGTTATACCCGGTGTATATTTGTGGAAAGAATACATTAATTAATAAAGCTTCATTCTTCTAATTTACTCTTTTGTTCCGTTCGTTTCATCATTCTATTGACTTTTAAAAATTTGTTCATATTGTGACAGAGAGAAGACATATGGCATAATTTAACCGTTGATTAATACAAACGTGCGGTTTTATGTTTACATTATACAGAACAGTTATTCATATATATGTCAAGTTCCTCATGACCGAAATTTAAGTTTTTGAATATTATGTATTTCAAGATTGTTTCATTTTTTTTTTCTTTTTTTTTTTTGTCCGTTATTCCTAAAAGGCTAAACTATCCCCCCATTCCCCGAAAAAAATACATTATTCCATCAATATTCAAATCAATAACAGAATGACCTGAAAATATGATGCATCTTATCCATTCCGAAAGCATAAACATTATAAGAGGAAATGAATCACGGATAATGATCATAATTAAAATGAATTAAATCGATTTCGGTAACACAGTTGTCGAGGCACGTGTCTCATAGCGCTTGCTGTGGACGTTCCTAGGTTCCTTTCCTTTTTTTCATGTTTTTTGGATCTTTTCTCTGTTTCCTGGGACTTTAAGACACGTTTGCGGTTACTTCGGAATAGAGCAAGTCCTCCAAACTAACGGGTAAGTTGTAAAAAGAGTAGATTCCATATTTTTTCTGGATTTTTGAATAATAGATGGAAGGAGTTTGAGTTTCCCCCATCTCGAAATATTCATTTTTGTTTGTTTGTTTTGTTTGTTTGTTAGTTTAGCTTTCGCAAATTAAACCACGTGTTTGTTTAACATGCATAGGCTTGCTTCCATGGCCTTGTTTTACTCTTTTCACGTGTGAAGTGCAAGAGTATAACGGCCTGCCTGAACATGACAGCCACGTGGACTCCCATTTGGAAAATCTAAAGCAACTATTAGCATTGGGGGGGGGGGGGGTATTTTCACTTCTCGCAAGCTTCCAAAATATCGAGCTAAGCCACTGGGAGTAACTTTGATGTATCGCTTAACAAGGTTTTAGTAATCTGAGGGAGATTCGGCCAGTTTGTTAAAGTTGTGCGAGTGCCGGGCCTAATGAATATTTACTAACTGACATGCATATACACAGAAATAAATGCATAATCATAAAACATGTCTATCAGTCTAGACATGCATATCTACCGGACAGAAAATAGATAAAGGTATATCTATCAGAGAGAGAAAGATATGTTTTTATTTCTGTGTATATGCATGTCAGTTAGTAAATATTCATTAGGCCCGGCACTCGCACAACTTTAACAAACTGGCCGAATCTCCCTCAGATTACTAAAACCTTGTTAAGCGATACATCAAAGTTACTCCCAGTGGCTTAGCTCGATATTTGGAAGCTTGCGAGAAGTGAAAATACCCCCCCCCCCCCAATGCTACTAGTTGCTTTAGATTTTCCAAATGGGAGTCCACGTGGCTGTCATGTTCAGGCAGGCCGTTATACTCTTGCACTTCACACGTGAAAGAGTAAAACAAGGCCATGGAAGCAAGCCTATGCATGTTAAACAAACACGTGGTTTAATTTGCGAAAGCTAAACTAAAAACAAAACAAACAAACAAACAAAAATGAATATTTCGAGATGGGGGAAACTCAAACTCCTTCCATCTATTATTCAAAATCCAGAAAAAATATGGAATCTACTCTTTTTACAACTTACCCGTTAGTTTGGGAGGACTTGCTCTATTCCGAAGTAACCGCAAACGTGTCCTAAAGTCCCAGGAAACAGAGAAAGAATCCAAAAAACA